GGCTGTGGCGGTATGCGCATCCAAGGTTATGTGAAGATACAGACGAGGTTAGATGTTTGGCATAGAATCAGCCGGGGTGTGGTGAATGGGTGACCTGAGTTACACACAGACGACGTTAGTTGTAGGTACGGAATCAACCAAGGTGTGGTACGTGAGTGGGTGATGTACATTACACAAACGATGTTAGAGGTAGGTACAGAATCACCCAAGGTGTGGTGAGTGGGTGACCAACGTTAGGGGGTACCCGGGCTATGCAGAGGGCAGTAACACATGCGACCTGAGCTCACATTATTCCTCTACGTGTAAGATAAACAATTGAAAACCTCTCAACCCAAGACAAGCAAGCAAGCAAGCAGGCAAGCGCAAGTAAGCAGGCAAGCAGCAAGTAAGCAGGCAAGCAGCAAGTAAGCAGGCAAGCAGGCAGGCAGGCAGGCCAGAAACCAACCATAAGACATTTTTAAATGCTCAACGAGTCTACACAGAATGAGTGTTCGCCTCACAGAAGCGACCGCTCTTTAACTTTCGCACTCTACGACCCTTCCAGCTCGACTCTTCCTGCTTACGCGGCCGTTAGCGAAACTCGACACATATCCATTATACGCTCGAAATTCAAAAGGAAAGCCCTGCAGATTCCGTTTTCGATTGCCCCCACGCTCGCGACGTGGTGGCGATCTGCCTAAGGGCGCTCGATGGTATATGTAAGAGGGAGTCATCCATTTCCCGAATGGCTGCAGACGCCGAGAGATAGGTGCCATTATATAGGATTTAATGAAAACTTGTGCAAACACCGCCTTCTTTGTCGTGCGTCGTCTCTAGGCCACAGTAGGCATTACGAGTAAAGAGGTATTAGTGTGGGAGAGATTGCAGAGGGAGGATTCGTCTGTCCTTGTTGAGCGGTTTCAGTGTTCAGTTCAGAATCCTCGGTGCAAAATTCCCCAAAGGCTATCTCTTTCATTTCCAGTGATTTTAATGTAAAAAAGGCATCCGTTTTGACTCAAGTAGTAGTCAGAACTCAGCAACTCAAACAGGGTAGACAGCAATATTTTTTAATATGAGAAGTGCATTTTTGTGTCAATCGCATAATAGGGTAGACTGCTATAGGGTAGACTGCAATATTTTTTAATATCACAAGTGCATTCTTGCGTCAATCGATAACACAGGATTCTAACAATACTTCCTAGCATACCCACAAATCTACCTATATATATCTACATTACAATATATCCACCCATCCACAGTGAGGCCCATGTGAGACTAATATACTTACATGAGACTTGTTGACTTCCTAAATATGGTCCTAAAAGTTTACGCCGTTTCTTCTCATACCCCTTTTGTGTGATGTCACCTGTAATCAAGAAACAAAAACCTCTTAATACACTTGAGTTTTTTATCACCTAATAACGAAAAAAGATTACTCAATCACAATCAATGACAAAGTCAACAACGACAATAACAACAATATTGATAGTAACAATAACAATACTAACAATAACAATAACAACAATAACAACAAATCAATGAGCAATATGCACAATGTATCATACATAATCTAGCCTTGGGTTTGTGCGCTGGTAATAAATATCTGCACATGTAATGATTCTGGTTTGAGATTATGATGATCAGGTTGCTCTGGTTGAATCGCAATGCTGCTACGTGAGCGTCACTGTCACGTAAACAATCATGACAAATCACCAATTAATTCACTCCCTCCTCCAGCTAGGTTTCATGTAGATACGCTTGAGAGAGAGAAAGAGAGAGGGGGTAGCCTTGATGCTATCTCTCTCTCTCTCTCTCTCTCTCTCTCTCTCTCTCTCTCTCTCTC